CCTGCACCACCTGCTGAGTACTTTACTGAGGCTGCAAACGAGCCTGGACGAGTACAGTGTACCCGCTCGTTTGCTTATGACGATGATGAGGCTCGTCTGATGGTGCCTGCGGGAACACTCGGGACGATCGTGCAGTCTGGCGAAGAATTACAGATTGAATGGCAACTTTCAGACAGCGAGGAAGGCAAGAATGGGGCCTCCTTGTGGGATCTGCTTTTGGTGAGTGCAGACAGTTTTGTGGCCGGGCAGCAGGCTGGATCATTTGCTGATCTCCATCGTACGAACTCAGAAGATGTCAGTGTGCTGACGGCGTTTTTCGAACTCATCGTCCAGCTAGGACAACAGCACGATGGTGGCCAGTTCGTGCTGGGGGAGATGAAGCGTCGGTGGGGCGAGGCAAGGCTGCGTCGTTGGTGGACTGAGCACCGACTTCCTTCACCTGAAGTTTACGTATATCAATTGATAAGACAGCAGATTGCACTACCTACGCTTCTCTCTGCATCGAGAGAGAATTTGGTATCCTGGGGCATTCGAGACCGTCACGTACGCGAGCAGATTCTGGCGCAGATTGGTAGCGTGGGACGTCAGGAATTCGGAAGCGCCAGTATGGATGCTAGTACGATGAATGCGTTCGCTGTGGATGGAGGTATTCACTTACTGCGGCTCTTATTGGGAGTGCTGGATGGGTTTGTGCGTGGAGCTGTAGACGGTGGTGAGAGCAGTTGGTCAGCTGGTCATCTTCACCTGGTTGCCGCGTCTTTCATAGCTCTTCGAACGCTGTTGGCGACTGCTTCTGGAGTCGAGTTGTTGATGAATCGTTCGTTTGGTGGAGGACGAGAAGAGTGCGTCAACCTGATTGTAAAGAGCGCCAAGAAGCTGTTTGAATTGCAAGAACGGTTGATGGGAGAGTATTCAGTCGTGTTGGCGACGCAGGAAATCTTCATGAGTGTGGTGCGATGGTTCCTCGCTAAGGAGGCGCAAGCACTAGCTTCAACTGACGAGGATGCTACAGGATCACATGCGTTCGTTGCGACGGAAAGACTGTGGTTTGTTGGTGCGACGGAGTTTGCGATTGAAGTGTTGTCCACTCACGAGAGCTGGAAGTTTGTATCGATCAGCGAACGGATTGAGGTGACGGAACGCTGCTTCCGTCTGCTGTATGTGCTAGTGCTTCCGCGCAAGTACATCCACGAGCAGAATGAAATGGTACCAGCGTTTGAAACAGCGTTGCGCGAGACGCTGTCGACCGACATGTCGCTGCTTATGAAGCTGCTACGTTCTTCCACTGCTCTGCTGTCATCGATGGAAAGCCAACTGCCAGGAGATGATGAAGATTCAAACTCTGAGGCAGATGAGAGCGAAGCTGAGATGTTTGAGATCGACGTGGTTCAACTGGAGTCGCTTGTGACGACATGCTTGCGATTCGTGGCGTTGCTGCTCTCTAACGAGAAGAACAATGTGAATACTCAAGCTGCTCGAAAGATTTTACTGACGCCGATTGATGGCGGCTCTAAGACACGAAGGTCGCTGACAGTTGTCACGCTTTGCGGAGTGTACCTAGGTTATTCACTAGACGATGCGCCTGGCATTGCGTACTGGTCTTTGCAGATTCTTCAACATGCTGCTGTGGTGCTGGACTATCGTCTGGAGCGAGAGAGTCGTGAACTTACGTCCATGCACTCCCTCGTTGCGCTCTTCCATGGCTACCAAGATCCTACTCTTGTGCGTGGCACATTCGCCTCGCTGCTGCGGGTGGCACCACCACCAGTGCGGAAGGAGGTGATTGAATTGCTGACGTTGTGCTTGGAACATCAACCGGGTTTCTTAGCGCCCCTTCTCTTCGGTGGTGATAGCAAAGAAGGCAAGGATGACGAAGCAGAGAAGGCTGAGGGAGATCCCTTGCCTTTCGTATCGTTGCTGGAACGTTTCTTTGAGGCCTCCGAGAAGCTATTAGAGCAGACATCTGACCTCTTCTGCGCTCTACTGTCCTTCCTCGTGAAAGTGTGGGAAGGTGCCATCCACAATGGTCTCGGTGTACATCTAAAAATCATGGCAGCTCTACGTGCGCGCTCCACGTTCTGGCCGAATGTCACTCGAGCATTGAAGATCCACATGCCGTTGGAGTCGGTCGAGGAACGCGGATTGCTGGATATGGAGCTGGCTGCCGCTACTGCTCACGGCAGAGGAGTCGAGAGTCCGTCCAATTCGTCGGACTTGTACAGTGGTCGCTCAAGTGCTTACGGATATCTGGCTCGCGGTCTTATCCTCCAATTGGTGTCGTACGAGTGGCACAACCAAGCTTCCAAGCAAAGTGATCATCCGTTAGTGGATGTACTGGAGTCGTTCCGGAAAGAAGGACTGTATTCGCATTGGCTACGCACCTTCACACGCTTGGATTATTCGCCGGCACAATTGGAGCACTACGCGTCGTCTATCCGTCGTGCTTGCTCTCTACAATCGTCCACCATGAACCTCCTCAGTGACATACCAGTGGGCTGCATCTCACTTTACGTTGAAGGACTGATCTGCGACGCCAGTACACTAAAGTGGCAGCTTAGTGCAGGTGGAGATTTCAAGCTGCAGACTTCTCCAACAGATGTTCGAGCGTTGAAGCTGGCCCAGTGGAGCAACCTGCAAGCGGCTTATCTACATGCACAGCTCTTCGCTTTAGCTAAATGGAAAGTGTTCATGGAGTTATGCTGTCTACAGGCTGGAGCCCCGGAGACAGCACTGAGTACTGAGAAGGCGAATGAAACGACACCGAGACGACTCAAGCGGAAGGAGTCGATGATCTCGTCGCCTCCACGCAGCACCAGCAGCGCAGGGAGTACGTCGATGGTGCGGCTATCGACTGCTCCAAGCTCCGGTAATGTGTTATCTTCGCGCTTTTCAGGCGATCGCACGTCCTTCGGAATGGTCCAGGTGCTAGCAGATGTGATCAAGATTCGCGTGAGTCAGCACGAAAACCAGGACGAGACACTCGACTATTTCGTGCTGGTTCATCTGCATGATCTCATCAAGCTCTTGGTGTCGATGCTTCATCATCAATTGTGTCTCGTTGTTCGCAAGACTCGTGACCCGAAGTTATCGCAGACGCGGCATCGTCTGGAAGGCTCTAACGACTCGAACGTCAAGTTTGACGCCGCGACGACATATGAGTTACTGACTGTCATTGAGAAGACCGCGAGTGCAGTGCACGACTCGATGACGCAGATCGCGCGCGAACTGGACCTGGTGCGTCAAGGCTCCAATAGTAACTCGACGCTTGGCTCTAGAGAACTGACTTCACTGCCGCTACTTACTCGCCTGGTGACGGACTTTGAGAAGAAGGTGGAAGCAGTGACTGACGGACTGTATACGTCACTGTTCACTGCGGCGTTGCTGCTTGTGCGTCACTTAAGCAAGGTCAATGGCCACCCGAGTCTCCACGACGGAGACGCAGACATGGAGAGTATGTCGCTGCCCAAGCCTCTGCTGCAGGTGAAGCTGATTACACACTGTATGAACGTCATCAGTCTATGCGACGGCCGACCAACTCCTACGAAACCCACGCAAGCTCTGTTCCAGTTGAGCTGGTGCTTGTTCCAGGAGGTCCTCGACAGCTTCAGCAGCGTCGACTCTTCCAAGCCGAAGTTGCGGATGGCGACTGCAGTGCAACTTAATCCGTTCGTGAAGGAGCTGGAGCACGACCAACATGACATCGGCGCTCTGTTCCACTTGCTGGTGCAGCGCTTCCGTCCTTCCTCGTACAGCAAGGAAGTGGCTGCGAGACAAGAGGAAGCATGTCAAGTGTTACGTGGTCTCACTGCAGTCGTGTGGAATCCAGCGAACATTGAACTGTGCCAGCGTGTGATGCTGAAGAACAACAGCTCTCGCTTCCGACTGCTGTCATTGCTAGCGACGGAGTTGCTGCCACTGCTCCAGACTCAGATGGAACGCGAAGAAACCAGCAGCAAGTTACGCGGTTACGTGGCTTCGTTGTCTGACGACATGGAAGAGAGAAGCGTGGATCGGTCCGTAGCACACCGCATGTGGTGTCTTGTGCTAGACTTCGTGGCCGGTTTGCTGCGTATGTCTAGCAGTGTCGACGATGCTGATGTGTGGGAGTTTATGTCGCATGCTGAAGCGCTGCTACTAGCGGCAGTCCAGCCTTCAACCTGCCAGCGCTTGACACGCGCTGTAGTTACCGAACACCAGGCGGTTCTTCGACTACTCAGCGCTCTCAGTGGAACTTCGTCGAGACGGCAACGTTGGCGTCAAGCGTTCCCATCAAACGTCGTTGTGTTGATGGAGCAAAGTCGCCAACTACTGCGTCGTGCTTGTGTGTTACTGGGCAGTTCATCGGCTGAAATGACACGTTTACGCAAGGAGAAATCCCAGAAGCAAAAGGTGAAGTCGCCCACCAAAGCCATCGTGGGTTTTGGCGCGAGTCTGACGCCTAAGTCGCCACGTTCGCCTCGATCTCCGTCGGCGTTTACGTTTGCACATCAGACGCTGCTACATGACCAGTTGCAAGCTGTTCGAGAGACTGAGAAGCGGAAATTGACAGACTTCCATCGAGCAATGGAGGTGGAGCTAGTGGAGATTGTGCGGCTATCGAGTCTGTTGCTGGCCAAGTGGACGGCGTCCTTGACAGATCGAGATGCCATTCTGGTGGTGGATGGCGTGCGGTATGTGGACGAAGAGCAGCTTGTGCCGTTGCTAGCGTTTATTCCACCCAGTGAGGCGCGCTCCATGAAAAGTAACCCGGGGTTGGGCCACTTGAGTCTAGCGATGGACTTTATGCTCGATCAGCTGCTGGTGGATGAGGATACACAGCCGAAAGTAGCAGAGAAAACTAAGAAGGTGTTGGCGAACGCGATTGATTCGTGCGCCCTGCTGTTCTTGAAGACGTATCTGCTGCATACGGAGCAGTACGAGCTGGCCAAACGCGACCGTGACGAGCTCAAGAATTTTTTCCGGCAGTTTAATGCTCGAGTAGACGGAGATGAAGGAGGCAACGTTGGTGCTGACGTGCAGTTACTGGAACACATTGGCAAGGTATGTGACTTCTGCTGACTAGTGTTTATTTTGCTACTGACGGATGCGATGTGGACAGATTATTGCTGGATGAGATGTTGTAGCAAGGACCACGCGGGACAACCTAGAGCCGTACTGGTAAACTACTTGGTACTGTTTGAAGAACTATGGAGGTAATACACTGACATGGTTTGAGTTTAATCGCAGCACAGTTTGTACGAGATATCACCCATGTTTCGGGGAGATTACTTCTCTATTATATGGCCCCTCTGAGTCAGGAGTTAATTACTTTCGAAACAACGAGTGCTGTCAATACCGTCATTGTTGATCCACGGTCATTTGTGATTAACAACGTAATGCCCTTGAAAATTGGCTCCTATCCTGCATTCCGCAGGACTCAGTAGCGAAATCGGTGACGCTTTTCTGATTTCCTCCAGAAGATCTTCAGCCATTTCAAAAGCTCAATGTTGGAATCGATATTGTTGTATCTTGCCTGGTCTTGCGATTAACAGTGATCTTTCCTGGGTCAGTTGCATGTGGGTCATCTTCGCGTTCTTGTTGCTGTCTGTAATCTCGATGGCGTCAATTACAACAACCATAGCAAATGTAAATACACCCAGGATGTTGGCCAAACGCACGAAGCTTCGGTCGCTGCTCGTTGACAGTCACAACAAGAATCGCGAACTGAGCTACTCTAGACGTCCTGGATTTTTGCTGGATCAGCTGCTGATCGCTTAACTTAGCAACGTGGCCGTAACTGCAAGTCTGTACAATAATGCTTCACTCGTCGAAGCGATCAGTGATTGCTCTTGCCGTTCTACGCCTATTTTATGGGAGAGTGATCACTGAAGACGTGACGTTTACTTAGAACAAAAGATCAAGATTGTACTGAAACGTAATGCTGATACAGTTTTGCAAATAAACAGACACTTCTCCGTCATCACTGAAGGCGTGACGCTTAGAACAAGGGATCAAGATTCTACTGCAACGAAAAGCTGATACTGATATCTATCCCCAAGTAAAGTTTACTGGACCACTATAGCCGAGACTTGTCGATATGTTTACTGTAAACATATCGACAAGTCTCGGCTATAGTGGTCCATCGTTCAGCCCCCTCTTCTTTATTGTTCAAATCGCCACGAACTAGTCAGCATAAAAAAGGATGGTGCAACTACAGAAGCAAGAATGCTTTGCTGTTCGGTCTTCAGGTAGCATTGGTCTTTGTATCAGTAGTTCATTAAAGCACGCCCGTGGCCAGTAAGTCGAAACATGCGAATGAAAGAGACTGGTTTATATTAAGTCGTGACTAGTGACCAGTTACCCATTCTGAAAAAAAATGCCCTTGGCCCACATTGAATACCGGCACACATGTACAGTACTAGGAGTACAATATTTGATTAGTTCATGTGAACAAACAAAAACTGGATACAAAGAAAAGAAAGTGCTGTTGTTAACATTTGACAAGTGTTGTTGGTAAGCAACGCATCGGGTATAAATGTCACTTCGTGATTTCCGTCGTGAGAGTCAAAGTGCAACGGCTGAAGCCTAAACGGTCTATCCGTCATGCGTTTAACGATCGTGCTGGGTGTTTTGACAGTTGTTATCGCATTGATCCTTGCAACTGACGCCATCGAGACTGCCGACAACGACAAGAATAATGTGAGGACAAGCGATACTCAACTGAACGAGGAAAGAGCAGTTTCAGGAGGTCCACAACCAGGCGGCATTGACAGCGGCCCCACTCAGGCATGGACGAATTTCAAGAAATGGTTCAAAAAATGGTTTAAGAAAACGTTTTCCTAGATGAAAACTCCAGTGATTCCAAGAATATGAAGCTATTCAAAGGTTTTGCAGTGGGCGTTAATCGTTCTACCAGATCGAGTATTACGAGTTCAGTTATCCACCATGACCGTCGAACGAAGCGATATTCTGGAGGGAACTACAGGTTGCTTTGTACCGAAGCACTATCAGTAAAAAATCTCGTATCCCCTATGACATTTGGCAGGATTATCAACTCTTCTTGACTGGGAACCGAGTCGGTGGACCCGGTCCGTATCATATATAGCAGGATATTAGCGATGAGAGGGATCAATTATGATCTGTGGGAAGTAGCGCCCCGCACCATAGTACGACGACAATGGTAGTGCCGTTATATAACGGTCTTTCTTGAATAGTGGAGCCGTTCTAAACAGTGTTCCAAGCTTTCGAGTAATACGAATGCGCACACTGTTCTGTAAAGCAGCGGACGACACACGCAACATCACTACCGAGGATTATATTAAGATCAACTTAACTACGCCCTAACATCACGGCTGAAATAAGTCTGCAGGTCCAGCTGGGATTAATTCACGCCTGTGTGTTGTGTTTTACGCACAATTTCATGCAATACAACAATCCAGAATCCATGTATATTTGTCACATTCCCATGAATTTTAAGAGGTATCGAGCTGCAGAGGGAAAATCATACGTGATCGCATTGACTTACAAAAAAGTATAAAATTATGGGTTCTGTCTTTCTGAGTTTGAATGCACCTGGCCCGCATTGTCGTTGTTGCTGCTGTAGTTGTAGTTTTCAATACATTAACTGATCTGGATACGATCCCGCTTGCATACTTTTACACTACAGCGCTACGTTGCATTACGTACTAGGCAGTAAAACGACTGCATGTATTATCACAAAGCTACAGTAAGTCGATGGGTTAGGATCGATGCTGTAACGGGGTACAAACCCAGTGTACCCAAGTTACATGAAGAGTGACCAGTCACTCTTGTAATATCTGGTACATGGTATCAGGGGCTCTAGGAGCCAATCATTGCTGATTGTGGGCGAAGGACTTTGCATTTGAGCAGAACGCGTCTTTCGGCAGCGGTTGTAGTGGGCTAAGCGAAGTGATCAATTGTAGACCGAGGGCATGTTTATCGTACTTATCGCATGAGTGTCGTGTCATTCAACAAGCTGCTGCTACTACTGGGGAATGATATACAATC